CCACAACAGCTTCAGAAAGGCTGGGATTGTGTTCCAGGAGAATACTGATGAGAAAGTAGAAGAAGCTAAAGGCAGTGATGATGATATAGCTCAGAAATCACATAAGTACATATGAAAGCAGCTTTGAGATATTTCAATGATAATAGTGACGAGCAACCACACTTGAAAAGGTTCTATAAGTTGAATTGGATGATGATGATAATAATGAATAATCTAAAATGACCTATTTTAAGATGAAAACAGTTTTTTTTTGGTGACTTTAATTTGATTTCAAAGACATTGATTATCATAAAAGGTGTATTATATACTAAGATTTATGAAAAGAATAAAATATCAACAACATCTTGTCCTTATCATTTTAGACTTAGGATCACATTTTACTGATATTTAGCTCTTCATACATTCATACTCTGGTCTCAACATGGCATCTCATTTCCACCATGAGCCTGTTTAGTTTGCCATTGCTCGGTTTAGGCAAATGTCTATTTAAATAAAAATTTCATGAGATCAGTTTTATCTTAGTAACATTGAATTCATTGGATAGGAAAAAAATGAAGTAGAAGTTGGCAATATGTAAAAGACATTTGTATAGTTTTTAAAAGAAAGTAACATGGGGTTGTGTGATGTGAAAATGAGAGTATGACTCTATACTAAATAAAATAGAGTATGACTTTTTTATGATTGGTAAAAGGGATTTTTTAGTGGTTTTTTTTTTTTTTTCAATTTGCAGGTAAATTTCTTATCATTCTTTTACAGTTCTTTCGCAAGTTTTACTTCTCAAGTTGTTTTCATTTCTCAATTTTAAAGAATTTTTAAAAGGAGATGTCAGTATTTATTAGAACAAAAATAATAATTGAGTAACTGTAAAACTATTGTTTAAAATTTTTAACCCTACCTGAACAAAAAAACCCTAACTAAATGAAAAAATATTAGTTAATAAAATCCCGGACAGCTGATAAATATGTGTACTAGGATACGTAAAAAAGCATTGAAACAAAATCATAGAATCCTTTATTAAACAAAAATATCAAAATGTGGAGGTATTATGTCTTGACATATCTTTCATCTAGGTCTGTACATCTCTGAAGGCACTGAAATCTAACCATTCCCAAAGAGTTTTGAGCTCTTTGATTTACACCATGTATAAATAGCTGTGTTGGCATCCTTGAGGGATTCAAATAGTGTTATTTTAAAATATTTTAAAAATTTTGGGAACAAAAGTGTCTGAAGTTGTAAGATCAGGGCAATTGGGTTGATGGAGTAAGATTTTCCAATGAAATTCTCATAGAACAGCCTTTGCTACCCTCAAAGAATGAGTAGGTACATTATTGTGATGGGAAAAAAATTCCTCAGCTCAACTTTTTCTGGCTTTTTCCTCACCAGTATGTTTTCTATTTTCTTAAAACTTCTCAATAAGCCCCCATGATTGCTCTGTGTCCTTGGAGAAAACCTATCAAGATAACCCCTTTGGAATTCCAAAATGCAGTCATCGCAATCTTCTGAGCTGACATCTCTACTTTGAATTTAACTGGCTCAGGAGATCCACTCTAAAGCCAATGTTTTTATTGGACCCTTTTTTTTTTGTTGGAGCACCCTAAGGATACTAAGACAAGTGTACTACTGAGAGAACTTCTCTGCAGTCATCCACTGATTGCAGAGAAAGGTAAAAGTACATTTTATTTAGAATAAATGTGTGCATGTACAAGGGTAAATTAAAAATTGTCCACACTCTGACTGCAGAATTAATTTTAATCCCTTTTTAACAAAGACAAATACTTCATTTTCCAACACAATCTCCTTGCTTTTCAATACTCTTTGTTCATCTATCAACAAGCTTTTGTACTCCCTGTTTAAAAAACTGTTTTGAGCAGAGCTGTGAGCCATTAATGCAACACTGTCTTCATTTTTTCATCAGAGGTGAATCTTCATCTTTAAAAGGCAAAGTTTTTGCAAAGTATCAACAGTGTGGGCAGAGGTGTGCAGACATGTATTGTTATGCAAGATCACAAGACCCTTGGATAGCAGTTTCTATGTTGAATCCCAAGTTAAGGCTTTAGCTCTTCAGTGAGCATCTCACTGTAATGAGCACTGTTGACTCCTGAACCTTTATCCTGACAGTGCTCCAACACTGGCCCTTGAGAGTCCCCAAAAGCTGTAAGCATCAATTTTCCAGCTGATGGTTGACTTTTGAACTTTTTCTTGGTTGGTGATTGAGGATGGTTCCATTCCACATTTTGCCATTTACTCTTAGGCTACACAAGGGATTTTGATCTAGCATGACAATGTACATCTGCACACCTCTGCCCACATTGTTAGCAATCTGCAAAAACTTCATTTTGAGGTAGTAAAGCACCCTCCCTATAGTTTTGATCTTGCTCCTTTGATTTTCACCTGTTTGGTTCCCTGAGAGCAGTCCTTAGAGGACAAAGATTCACCTCTGATGAAGAAGTGATGACAGCAATGCATTCGTAGTTTGCAGCTCAGCCTAAAACATTTTAAAATAAGGGAATACAAAGGCTTGTTGATAGATGGACAAAGTGTATTGAAAAGCAAGGAGATTATGTAAAAAAATGATATATTTGTTTTTCTGAAAGTTGATTAAATTCTACAACCTGAGTGCAGATAATTTTTGACTCACACATGTATGAACTAAAACTTTAGTAGCAATGCTTTTGGACTTATTCTTGTACATTTGGCAATTCATTTATGTAAGAGAAACAAGTAAAACTTTCATTCACTTAAATGCAGTGCATGTTCTGATTCGCTCTCAATTATAGTTTCAGAACTATGTGTTAGTAACTGATTTCCATTAATTATCTCAGTCATCTCTTTAAAACCAAATGTTCCTTTCAAACAACTTTCTCTGCTTGCTATTGTCAATATTTGGTTACAGAACTATGTATTCATTTTTACCATGTAAAAATATCAGATAAAATTGTTCTCCTTGTTAAAATAACAGCAAAAGACAACATTGATATTTTGAATAATACATTTTGAAAAGCTACTGACTCATAGGATTTTTGGAAAGAATCTGAGGTTTACATTTTTTTTATATATAGGATTCTTTGAGTTATGTGATAGTTTACATGGACGAACATTAGCTTCACACTGATCCCATCATATATTGTTTCCTAGCCATGGTTACAGTCCCCTCCATGCATCATCTACCAATCACAGGGTATACCCCGCAAGCCTGTATCCCTCCCCCCACCCCCCCCCAATTGTCAGCACACAGTCCCTCTCCCTCTCCGGGTCCAAACTCCCCAGCCACTCCATCTCTCTGCGTCGTCTCTGCCTCCATCTCTGGCATCTCTGCTTCCCTGGATAGGGTTCTGTTCTCCGCTCTTCTCCCTTGATGGTCCCAGTGACCTCTGCCCCTAGACTGCAAAGTTAATCCCTCTCCTCCCTTTACTACAAAACATCTACTTTTACATTTCCAGCCCTCACAATCAGTCCTGATAACAATTATTCACCATTATATCACAAGAGACCTATCCACATCTCCTTTCCTCGGCCTGCCTCCTAGACAGATTGGATACTACTCAGTAGAGATTCTACCTTGCTCCATGCCCTCTGGATCTAGGTTCCCTTTTGAAAGCTTGTAAGCCAGTCACTTCTTGCCTCTGTAGCCGCCCCTTCCCCCCCCCCCCCCCCCATTTCGGGTAGCCAATGTCCAAGTTGCCCATCCCTCTCCTCGCTGTGTGTAGAGAGGGTGGGAATGATCCTCGCTGTGAAGATTTGTTCTCTCTTTTGAGTTACTGCTTCCATAGGTGTAGGTCAATTTCATCAAATTATATCAGGTTATTCTTTTTTTCCTCTTCTTTCTTCTTCTGGTTGAGCTCTGATCATCCAGCCATTGAAGCCAGGTCAGGAGGGTATTATCTACAAGTGTGGGTGTACTTATGCATGTGCCATCTCTTCTTATCAGCTGGATGCTTCACTCGCCACTGTAGTCCTCTGTGGCTATGTCACTGACTTTGGGCCCAAGAGTTCCCTGGTCTTGCCACACTGCTGGCCAATCAGGTCTCTAGCTGGGTTCACAGGAGTCCATTGAACATTGTAGGGCTTAGCTCAAAGCTCCACTGCTGCCCTTCCCTCACTTCCCCCTATCAGTGATGAACATGGTCACCAATCAGAGCATGTATTCCTATTGGGTCCCAGCTTTCGAAGGAGGTTTGCTCTGAGGGGACTGAGGTTTACATTCTTAAATGAACATTGCCAAATAATGGTTAACCCCTTGTATGACTCTGTAGGATGAAACAATGGACCTCAAGGTTGGGTTGAATCGCAGGGTCAGCAGTTCAAACTTACCAGCTGCTCCTCAGAAAGCCTATACAGGATAACTATGAGTTGAAACTGACTGTACAGCATTTAACAACAACATTTTGGTAATAGATCAATTAAAAAAAAATTCTTTAGCATTGTATCAAGAAATCTGGTGATATTTAAAATGTTAATTGAAAATAAAATAGTAAAATCATATAAATTATAGTAGTTTATAACCTAAATATATTTCAGTTTCATTTCATGTATAAGAAAACTTCTTTAAGGAAACAGACAGAAAAGAATAATACCATCTGGACTTTCTTCTAGGTTGTGTGGTGAAAAACGCAAAAAAAATACATAGGTACCTGGAAATAGTACCTGCATATTATATGCTACCAAGTAAAATATGTGTTAACTGTTTTTCAAAACAAGGGAAATCTATTTCTTTAATTAAAATAAAAATAATTAATCAGTAAAATCAGATATAAAAATCTCTAAAAATGATTCATGATTCATAACCAGAATGTACTCATCATGACACCTAATCCTTTAACTCTGTAAAAGAATGGAATCATTTCCTTCAATGTGTTGTTATTCATAGACAAGTTGGCAAAAGTATAAGAGAATTTTACACATATTTGTCAAGAGTACATATGTATTTTGTATGTTATACAAATAAAACATTTTTTTGCTCATATTAAAATATTTTCTGTTGTTAATAAAAACTGTTGTTTTTACAATGGAACTCCTTCCATTATTAAAGATAGCTCAGTACCACTTTTTGTACTTAAATAGTGGGAGATAGGATTTCTTGATAAATGATTACATTTTGTTCTCATTTTGCCCATACAATTATTATACCTTTTAGACAAACTGAGTTTAGTTGTACCCCAATTGACAATACGATTTAAATCCTCTGGAAATAAAGTGTTTGATTTCTTGTTGTTCTCTGTTATTTTTGTACCAAGAGTCTTCTTTGATTTGTGGTTAATATGCTTAGAGTCTTTGGTCATCTTCTGGCTTTGACCAGTGCCACTTGTATATGGGCTCCCCATTCTAGGAGGGCATGTAACGTTTTGCATGATAGATGGAAGACATGTTTGAGATATTTTCCCAACTGATCTAGTGGGCAAATCTTGAAGATATCTTGGGAAATGTCGGCTAATTTTATACTCATAGGTTAAATTTCTTGAATTTGAATCACCAAATTCAATGGAGTGTAGAGTATCTATTATCATATTCTGATCTGTTAGACTTTGAGGTTTATTCGACTTTTCAGAATTCCCTGGAAGCATGCTAGGTAAAATTCCAAGTCTGTTTTGCTTTAAGATTAGTCTAGTACCAGGGATAAAAAGTTGTGGTTCTTGACTTGATGGATGAGTGATGTCTGTTTTTGAAACAGAATGATGTGCTTGTCCATTCACTGCTGTATCTTTCCAGATTAAAGGGTTATATATAACTTGTCTATCAATAGGACATGAATTGCATTTGTGAAGTAACCAACTGTCAATACATTTCCTGTGAAACTTAAAAAAAAAAAAAGATTACAAGTTAATTAGACCTATATTTATCTTATTTATATTATTTATGACTATTATTATTTATTTAACTACTTAGCAAAAACAGAAAGTAATGATACTTTACCAAGTTTTATGGAAACATTTTAAAAAAAGATTCACTTATAAATATAATTGGTTGTCAAGATGAAAATCCTATGGATATAACTTTTGTAATGTAGTTAAATCTCACTACTTATACATGTCATTAATTTTAAATAAACATTAAAAATAAAAGTCATAACCAATTAGAGTTCAAAGTAGATCTGAAGACAGTAAGATAAGAGAGCAAGTAAAAAAGTATTGCTATAAAATCAAAGCAACTTTCATTAAACAAAAACATAAAAACACGAAGCTACTGTTTCTCAGCATAACCTACATACGTTTCTAAAGGTGCCGTTTCTATCGCTCTAAAACGTCTCCAAAAGAATTCTAAGCTTTTCAATTGACACCACATCAAAATGCAACTTGGCATTCTCTAGGGACTCAAATCATGTTCATACAAAACATTATTTGAGTTTGGAGAACTAGAAAAGGCTGAAAGGTCAGAATCAGGGCTGTAGGGGGGATGGGTAAGATTTCTCATTGAAATTCTTTTAGGACAGTCCTTGCTACTCTTGAAGAATGATAAGGTGCATTGTTGCTGTGAAAAAAAAATTTTCCTGGCCTTTTTCTCACTAATGCAGTTTCCCATTTTCTTAAAATCTCGTCCTAGTAAGCCCTTGTGATCATCCTATATCCTTCAAGAAAATATATCAAGATTACCCTTTGGGAATCCTACAATACAGTTATAGGATCTTCTGAACTGACCTCTTTCCCTGGAATTTAACTGATCCAGCAGATTCCTTTGGAAGCAACTGCTTTTTTTTAAAAAGCTTTTATTGTGAATTGAGTGATATACATAGGAGAATATTGGTTTTGAACTCAACCTATTGTTTTTTGTTTCATTGCAATGATTACACACACCCCCATGCATCGTTGATTAACAGTATTTGCTTTTATTCCCCTTGTTTTTGTTTTTAAACGTACACAAAATCATGCAGGAATATATAATTGTCTAAATAACCAAAGGGTACATTTTGGAAGCCAGCTTCCTGCCCGTCAGCTCGCAACCTTTCTCTTTGCAAGAGTATAGTGTCCTAAGCTGCTTTATCTATCCATTCCATCACCTCTGCCTCCATTTCTGGTGTCACTGCTTTTATGGCTAGGGTCTCATATTCCTCATGCTCTTCTCTCTTGATTGTCCTAGGGTCTTCTGTTCCTTGAATGTAAGATTAACTACTCCCCCCTTTATGTTGTACAACTTCTGCCTTTACTGTTGTGACAAATGCAATTAGTCATAATAACAATTACTCACTACTGAATCAAAATAATCCTATCCCCATCTCCTTTCACCAGACCCATCTGGACAAGATGAAAACTACTCAGTGCGGATTCTACCTTCCCCCACTCTGAATCTAAATTCCCTCTTGAAAACCTGTAAATCAGCCACTTAGTGCCTTTATAGCCTCTCCCATTTTAAGTAGCCAGTATCTAAGCTGCCCATCCCAATCAACCCTTTGTACAGAGGGGATAGGCTTGATACTTCATGTGAAGACTCCATCCCTCTTGGTTGTTATTTTGAGCTACTACATCCACAAGTCAAGTTCATCAAATTGTAGCAAATCACAGTTGATCCTTTATCAAATTTCTTTATCTTCCTTTGTTTGAGTGTGATCATCAAGCCATTGAAGCTAGGTCAAATGGGTACTATCTGCAAGTTTAGACATTCTTGTGCATCTCCACCCACTTCATATCAGCTCGAGCCCTCCATGGCTAGGTTAGTGTCCATGGGTTCAGGAGTAGCCACTGTTTTTATTGGACTTATTTTTCAGAAGGCACTCTAAGGAGAATAGGACAAGTGTATTACTGAGAGAACTTGTCTTTGGCCATCCACTGATTGCAGAGGCATGGTTATGGAGACATTTTGTTTGGAATAAAGACTTGCATGTATGAATTGGAACACCACAACCAATACTTTTTTACTTACCCATGAAAAATATTCATGGGAAAAGAAAATAATCTGTTGGACATTTTGAGTAAGGTTGTCTTTAAAAACAAGTTTATTTACTGCAACAAGTTTGTTTTTTTTTTCCCCCAAAAGAAACTAAAGAACTTGACCTAACTATAGAGTGATCATGTAATCTTAGGCTTTAATTCTAGTGCATTCACATGAAATAACAAATGTGTCAATTTAGGCATTTCTGTTTCATCTAAGGAATCATAAAATGCATAAAATATTAGCACTGTATAATTCTTTTTTTCAGATATCTAAAGTAAATACAATCTAACTAGAAGGGCCATTTCATTGTCTTTAGGTAATGCAGATACAAATGAATCCTAATCAACAGTCTATTCTTAGGGGGCAGAGCAGCTTTCTCTTAGGCTCTGCAGTGACTCTTCTAAATATACTCTGTAATTTGAACATCTCTGCATGCACTTGCAAATAACACAACTGAAAAATGGAAGGAGAGATTTAAAGTGTCCTTCATTTTTGAAAACGTACCCTACAGGGGAAATTAAAATAAAATAATGTGATTTTTACCTTGTGAGTACACGGTAGCAATCTTATATGTTGACCAAGACGAAATGCCTTCAAACAAAGTCGACATTGGAAGCCTGGAGCAAGCAATTTACTATTTTTTGTAATCAGTAAGAGACGCAGTGACTTTACAATCTGCTGTGGTGTATAAACTTGGCTGAATGGGAACAGGCAGAGATATGTTTGTATGATTACAGATCAGGATGTAATCAAGAGGACACAACCATATACATAATGCAACTGAGCACAAGGTTCTTTTGAACTGAAGATCATAAATCTCAGACACTATTTTAAAAAATCTATTGCATTGAGCCAGTGGAACTAACTTTGATATTAACATTATAAAGAGTAAATTTTAATTTGGTCATTTCAAGCAAAAATACTAACCTGGAATTTTTAGTTTGTACTTTTTAATGTCAATGTGACTAGAACATAATTTTGATGAAAATATATGCTCAAATTCTTTTTGTCTGAGACACACCTAGATAAATATTTGGAAAAATGCAACCCAATTAATTTCATAGGAAATGAGGTACACAATAAACAATATTAGTATTCCAGGAGCATGGTGACTCTGTTGGATGAGCACTGGACTGTGAACCACAGGGTCAGCAGTTCAAATGTACTAACTGTTATGTCAGACAAAGATGAAACTTGCTAGTCCATTCAAGATAGATAGCCTTGGAAATTCTATACAGGGAAACTTTAAGTCAGATCCGACTCAGTGGCACACAGCAGCAGCGATAAATATTTAAGTAACCCTAATGGCATAGTGGGTTGCACATAGGGCTGTTAACTGCAAAGTTAACAGCTTAAATCCACCAGTTGATCCTCAGGAGAAAAATGAGGCTTTCTGCTCCCCTCTACAGGGTGGCTCTGAGTTGGAAACTGATTGGACAGTACACAGTAACAGCATTATTTATTGAATTCATAGATGCCAAGCAATCCAATAAATGTAAATTTCACTGAGAATCTCACCTTTGCTTTTCTTGAAAATTTGGCACCTTTTCTTTCATCTCTCTTTTAATATCTGGACATTTTACAATTTCATCTGATCCATTTTCTAGAGGTCTCCATTTTTGGTTTCTTTTCTGTAATATATATATATATAAAGCAGATGTTATTTTTCAAATAATTTTTATTTTGTGAATTAAAGTTGTGTACATATCTATGACACAATCTGAGTAATACAGACTCATCATTTTAAAATATTCCTTTTATTTTATGTCACATTAAAGAATGGACAATAAAATTACTGTGTCTAATTGTTCTTGTTAAATGCTGTTGGGTTGGTTCCAACTCATAACGACCCTGTGTAGGGTTTCTGAGGAGCGACTGGTGAGGTTGAACTACCGACCTTGTGGTTCAAACCGACTTTGCTAACCAGCACATTAACCCATAGCACCACACCGGGAATCCTGTGCCTAATAGACTATCGTAAATTGACTATAATGACATTACTTTCTAAGGTAAAAATATTGATCAATAATAATAATGGCAAATGTTTCATTTTATCTTGTGTAAAATGTGAAAGACAGCATTATTATTTAGCATAAGGAGATACTATTATTTAAGTGTGCAGTTCAAGTGATATCAATTTTATCTTTCATTGTAATTGATCTAAATAAAAAAGCAAATGGTCATCGATCTATCATAAATAACTTTTTAAATATAGAAAGATTTTAAAAATTAATTTAAAAATTTGATGGCTATAATTCCTGTATTTATTATGCCTAATTTTATAAATTACTAGTGTAAGAACTGTATATCCCTATGCAAAACAGTTCCCTCAAAATATCTTAGGTTTTTATTAAAAGCCAACCACCTCCATTCCAGAATGTTATCTATTCTTATTATCCTTATATTTATAACAGCACAAATACAAATACTACATAAATTTAAGGTGGATACTGTACCTCACGAAACATAAATGTATGGGAAAGATGGCAGCAACTGCTAAAGCATTCCTGGCATAAGTGATATTCAATACACTCAGTACACCTAAAAATGCAAAACACCAAAAGATACAAAGAAAAGCATCCAATTATTTGATTGTTAAAAATCAATTCTAGCCATAACTTTACAAGAACTATCCAATTATGAGTTGTTGTAGTTATGTGCCATGGAGTCGGTTTCGACTCATAGCGACCCTGTACAGGGTTTCCGAGGCTGTAAATCTTAACGGGAGCAGAAAGCCTCATCTTTCTCCCACGGAACAGCTGGTAGTTTCCAACTGCTGACCTTGCAGCTCGCAGCCCGATTCGTAACCACTATGCTACCAGAGTAGGGCCATCTGAAAGTCACACAGTGTTTTTTTTTTTTTTTTCTATTGCTGTGAGAACAAGTTACTACAAACATAACATCTTTGGCATCAATTTATTATCTTATAGTTTTATAAAACAAAAGTCAGACATGAGTCTTACTAGGCTAAAATGAAGAGGTTAGATAAGTTACATTTCTTTCTGGAATCCTTAGGGTGTTTCCTTGCCCTCTCTAGTTTCTAGAGTCTACTCACATTCCTTGGTTTGTGGACCCCTTTTCTTTCTTTAAAGAAAGCAATGTTGCATCTCTCTATGCATTTTTTCCATAGTTACACTCCTCTCTGACTCTCTTCTTTGACCCCTTCTTCTACTGGGCTCATCAGGGTAATCCAAAATAATGTGTTTCAAGGTCAGTTGATTAGCAACCTTAATGCCATCTGAAATACTAATCCCTCTTTGACATGTAACCTAATATACAGGTTCTGAAGATTAGGAGCTGGACATATTTGTCTACCACACACTTCTTCCTGGGCTCTGTCAGCTTTCATTTATATAACTCTCAAAACTCCTATGTATCTGTAGCAGATGAGATGTTCTATTATTTGACTGTTTAGTACTTTTTTTCAATTATTTCACTGAGTGCTTTGTTGTTGTTAGGTGACATCGAGTTGGTACCAACCCATAGTGACCCTATGCACAACAGAACAAAACACTGGCCAGTCCTGGACCAACCTCACAATTGTTGCCATGCTTGAGCCCATTGATGCTGCCACTTTGCCAATCCATCTCACTGGGGGTCTTCCTCTTTTTCTCTGACCCTCCACTTTACCAAACATGATACCCTTTTCCAGCAACTGGTCACTCCTGACAATATGTCTGAAGTATGCAAGACGAAGTTTAGCCATCCTGGCCTCCGAGGAGCCTCTGGTTGCACTTCTTCCAACACAGATCTGTTTGTCCTTTTGGCAACCCATGGCACTTTCAATATTCTCCTCCAACTCCATAACTCAAAAGCATCAATTCTTCTACGGTTTTCCTTATTCATTGTCCAGCTTTTGCATGCATGTGAGGTTATTGAAAATACATGGCTAGAGTGCTAGAGGTATGTTAAGCAGCACAGTTCTTGAAAACAGGAATTATGTAAGAATCCCTCTCTTTCCTGGAAAAATAGTAAACTAAATGTATAAAAAATTCTCAATAAAACCACCGCTGATAATTAAAAATGCAACTTCACTTCCCACAAAAGCCCAATCTCAAGCTTACATCATTTATACAAGTTTATTCACAAAATAAATAATATTTTGAACACTAGTCAAATAAATCCACTTCCTTGTTCAAGTTGCCAATGATTTAGAAGACTATTTCCATGACAAATTTTGGAAAAAAATGTTCCACAGAAATCCCGGAAAAGGAGGTGCAAATTGATTCATCATTATGTATTAATTTCTACATAGTGAAAATGCAATCAATGTATGAGAGCCATGGAACAATTAACTCCACACCGTAAAATATACTGGGCTAGAAAGTCAAGTATTTCTACATTTTAATACATAGCTGATATTTTTGGAATTAACTTCTTAAAAGAGCCTATATGCAAGGACTTCCAAAAGTTTATGGAAAAATGAACTTTTTGAGGTCCACTTGAATTATGAAAGTCTGAAGAAGAAGAAATTAAGATGCTTTCTAGTTTATCTTATCTCTTACTTAATCCATTCCTAAAACCATTGGAAAGCTTGTTTTTCAGGGTGATGCCTAATGTCCTTGATGGGTGAAAGGAGACTGAAGTCACACAGCTGATGAAAATAAGATCTTTATACTATAACAGGGGACAGTGATAAGGGTGAGTAATTGTCAGCCAACTCCACAGAGAAGTTATGGGAAGAGACGATATTCTCAAAGGAGAGTGCATAGCTGTAGGCACACTAGTATTGAATGCTTGTATTTAGAAGTAATAGAAAGGCTTGGCTTGTATCTCCTATCCCCCTACATGTGATGTTATGTAGTGGTTACGAGTCGGGCTGCTAACCTCATGATCAGCAATTCAAAACTACAGTGGGAGAGAGATGGGGCATTCTCCTCTCATAAAGATTTACAAGAGATGAACCACCAGAGTGATTGGTGTGGCACTGCAGGATAGCCACTGGACTGCTAACTGCAAGATTGGTGATTCAAACACACTAGCCATTCCTCAGGAACCCTATACAGGGATGCTATGAGTAGTAGTTGACTTAATGGCACTTAACTTGGTGGTGGTTGGTGGTTATGTGCCATGGAATAATTTCCAACACATAGCGACCCTGTACAGGGTTTCTGAGATGGTAGTAAACCTTTATGGGAGCATAAAGCCTCATCTTTGTCCTGTGGAACAGCTGGTAGATTTGAACTTCTGACCTTGTGGTTAGCAGCCCAGCTCATTATGCTGAGTTCAGTATTAATGTAGTAATGTAGGGTGTGTCTTAATTTCTTTTGAGATCTAAAAGAGCAGACTAAGAAAGCAGCATGTAAGCAGAGATGAAGACAGATACCATGCCACATGAAGATTACCAAGAAGTCTAGAAATAGAAGATGAAAAGAGACAAGGACCATCACATGAGTCAATAGAGAGAGAAAGCCTTCTTCTAGTCAGTGCCCTGAATTGAGATTTCCAGTGGTTACTAATGGGGCTGCTAACCTCAAAGTTGGCAATTCGAAACTACCAGCTGTTCCGTGGGAGAAAGATGAGGCTTTCTGCTCCCGTAAAGATTTGTAGCCTCGGAAACCCTGTGCAGGGTCACTATGAGTCGGAACTGACTCCACGGCACTTAACAACAACAACAACAAAGTGGAAACGTTTAGGAGCCCTAGAGTAGCACTGTAGGATGAATACTACACCACAAGTTTGGTTTGAACTGCAAGGTAGGTCAGTGGTTCGAACGCATCAATCACGTGGGGAAACCCTATCCAGGGTCGCTATGAGTGGAAACTGATTCGATGGCACTTAACATCAACAGCAACAAACTGTAAGAAAAGACACTTGTTTGTTAAAGACACCCACTTATTGTGTTTATGCTACAACTGTTGTTATTGTTAAGTGCTGTGGAGTTAATTCTGATCCATAGCGACCCTGTCTAGGGCTTCCAAGGAGCAGCTGGTATGCTTGAGCCACCAACCTTGAAGTTTAAACGACTTTGCAGTCTGAAGCATTAGCCCACAGCGCCACACCAGGACTCCATTATGCTACAGTACCACTAGATAACTAAGACAGAGAGAGCAGTTAGAAAGTTGAGTGATGGAGGAACACACTGCCTTACTCTCATATATGTGCCTACCTATCCAGTGGTTGAGTTGGGCTGCTAACCTCAAGGTCACCAGTTTGAAACTACCAGTGGTTTTGCTGGAGAAAGATGAGACTATCTGCTCCTGTAAAGCGTTACAGCCTCAGAAACCCTCTGCAGGGCCACTATGAGACAGAATCGAATCCACGGCCCACCACTACTACCCTCTTGATAATATCTACATTGCCCAATGGCTGCTGATATCCCAATTTAATTTTTCATTTTCTTATAACTTTTTTAGTCAACCAATCCTGAATCTAGGCTGCTAGGAAAACAAACAAAATGAAAACCACTGTTAATGAATCCAAGTCAATTCAGAGTAGCCTTATAGGACACAGAGAGAGAAGAACTCTTCCATGAGGAGTCCAAGGCTGTCATTTTTAACAGAAGTGGACTGTCACCACTCTCTCCTGCAGAGCAACTGGTGGATTTACATTGCTGACCTTTTAGTTAGCAACCAAGTGCTTAAACACTGAGAAAATTGTCTTCTTCTTCCTCAAGTCAGAATACCTTTTTGGAGCCTTCTTTGCCCTGCTATTTTCTAATAATGACTTGTTAGAAGTGTGCTCGTTGATTTTCTTCTACGAATGGTCCTCAAAAAGTTCATAGAAAATGTATATTATGAAAAAAAACTATGCATGGTTCTAAAGAACAAATTTTGCACAAAAATAAACCGGTATTAATTGGAGTCCTGTTGTGGTGCTATAGGATAAGCACTGGGCTACTAACTGTGAGGTCAATAGTTCAAACCCACCAACTGTTCCTCGGAAACCCTACACTTACTCGATGGATTGCTATGCATCAGCACCTACTCGATGGCACTTAGCAACAACAACAACAACAACAAATTGTTATAACGTGCCTACATAGGATCTAGTATGAGGCAATAAGAAAGACACCAGTTTGTAAACAGTTCCTGTGAGAGCAACATGATTTCTGCTAAAATTGAAGCAAGAACAAATTCAAGATTTATGGTGTAGCTTGGGTGGAAGAATGGTGAAATCATTGATGATTTACAAAAAAATTTTTGGGATCATGACATAAAGAAATCAGCAGTTTACAAATAAATAACTAATTTTAAGAAGGAACAAGGTGATATTTAAGATGAAACCCACAGCAGCAAATCATCCACATCAATTTGCAAAGAAAAATTTCATATCCTTTGCACCGTAACTGAAGAGGATTGATGACGATCAACGCAAACAATAGCCAAGACCACAGACATCTCAATTGGTTCAGCTTACACAATACAATGGAAATTTTAAACAAGCGGGACCAAGATCCTGAATTACTTCTTAGAAGAACTGTAACAAGAGATGAAACACAGCTTTACCAATATGACCCTGAAGACAAAGAACAATTAAAGCAATGACTATCAGAAGGTGAAAGTGTTCCAGTCACAGCAAAAGTGGATCAGCCAAGAGCAAAGACCATGACAACAGTTTGTTGGGAAGTTCAATGCCTTTTGCTTGCTGACTTTCAGGAGGGCAAAAGAACAACACCACCTGCTTATTATAAGACAGTTAGTCAAAGTTTTAGCAGAAAAATGCCCAGGAAACCTTCACCAGGGTGTCCTCCTCTACTACAACAATGCTCCTTCTCATTTTTCTCATCAAATAAGGGCAATTTAGTGAGACTTTTGATGGGAAATTGTTAGACAGAAACCTTACAATCCTGACTTAGCTTTCTGACTTCTGTTTCCTTATCTTAAAAATTCTTCAAACATCACTCATTTTTCTTCCGTTCATAAGGTAATAAAAGAGTGCGCTGACATAGTTAAATTCCCAGGACCTTTAGTTCTTAGAGGATGGACTAAATGACAGGTATCATCACAAAAGTGTCTTGAACTTGATGGAGCTTAAATTGAGAAAAACAGTTTATATTTTGAATTTTCATCTTTAATTCTATTTTCCCATGAACTTTTTGAAGACCTCTAGTATATTATACATAAACTAATGACTACAAAACTCAAGGAAGAACTATATTATTTGTTGTTGAAGGTCATGAGGTTTATGAGAGTTAGAAAATATGCAATTTAAATTGTTCTCATCATGATGTAATTCAAAGTAGACTGAAATGTAAACTAATTTTAGAAGTTTTTAAAATAGAAAGTAAAATAACTTATTTTTAATATACCATTAACCTAAATTTTACTTATGAAGAAAACAATTTCTCAGGCATAGCAATTGGTTAATGCTCTTTGTGGGAAATTTGAGGGTTACTTACAATTTTCTCTTGTAATTATTTCATGTTGTTGTTTGAGGTACTACATATGCAAGAAAACAAAACCCACACTGACTGCAATTTGGAGTTTAGAACTCAATTAAACAGAGCCAATCAAGTCAACAGTCCTGACTCAATGCAAAGAGTTTTTTCCCTTCATAGTGATCTCAATGTTGGTTCAAAGAGCGCTCCAGGTGAGTGAGTGGCTCAGCACAGCTCTGAGCTTGGGAACTTGTATAAACCAAAGCAATAGAACCTGTGTTCAGAACTTCAAGGATGGGATTTCACTTCAGACTCTCAACCTAGACCAGAGTATACAGCCAAGTATCTGACAAAGTAAAGAAAACATGATATTCGGAGTTGTGAGATACTGGGCTGATTCTAATGACCTTTCTGGAAATCTTAAATAAGTGACATCTTGTAAGCAAACACACTATATATGAGGAAGAAGACATGTTAAAGGATAGGTATTCTAATGCTTAAAATTTTCTAAAGTGTAAAACAATGACAACAACAAAAAGGTTTAGAATATGTGCTTAGAATTCCCGGCAACACTTACTTATGGCACCTCCCCTCAATTGGAAATTGTTTACAGCTATTACAGGGGATTCCAAGGTGTTTGTCCAGTCGCTCTTTCTCAGCTGCAGTCTCAAGTTTACTAGAGTTTTTAAATTCCTCTAAAATAAGTTTTAATGGTGCAAAGTCGTTCCTGCACAGAGGACATTTCAACATGGAAGTGTTCGCTGTCACATCCTGAAAATTAGCTAAGATCTTCATGCATTTTATATGAATGCTATTGCCACAGCCATACCTGTCAGAAATGAAATCCAAGTTTATCGTTTATGTACAGCGAAATGTTCTAGATCTACACCTTGTCTCTGTGTGTATAATTTTATGTGCTGTCATCTTTATTTATCATAAAGTAGGCTTTGAACTGATTTTCCAGATATAGCTTGATTATACACATTCACTCAAACATTCACATATTCTTTCTATCTTCCTACCTACCTACTTACATATGTACATATTTAAAAATTAATCTTTCATTTAGGCCATCAGAATTCCAAATATAAATTCTTGTGTATGTGAATATCTAATTATTAATCTATAATATGAATTTCAAACATAAGCTCTCCCTCATTCCAAAGACAAAGATTTTTCATAATCAAACTACTTTTCATATATCAAATTATAATTACTATAGTCTTAACACAAAGGAGCTCTGGTAGCGTAGTGGTTACGAATCGGGCTGCAAACCTTAAGGTCAGCGGTTCGAAACTACCAGCCGCTCCGCGGGAGAAAGATGAGGCTTTCTACTCCCGTAAGGATTTACACCCTCGGAAACCCTGTATAGGGTCGCTATGGGTCGGAACCGACTCGAAGGCAATTAACAACAACAACATAGTCTTAACACAAGTGAAAATTATAACACTATTTATTATTATCATTTAAATAAAATGTTCACTGAGGTAAGGGGCACTACCTTATTTGTCAAAAATCACCCAATATGTGCAGTGCCCAAGAAATGCGTGCTGAAATATGTATCTTGAGAAAGAATTGATCATTGGAAAGCATGCAATGTGGGTGAGCATTTTAACAAATAATCAGGAGGAACAAAGAGTGAGCAGTTTCGATAGCACATGGTTGCCCAGCTTTTCTAAATCTGACTGCACAGTGCTTTGAGTATGAGACTTGGGAGCAATTAGTATAACTAAAAGTTTGGATTCATTATTTAAGTTTAAATATAGAATTTTTTAAAAGCTGCAAAAATTTCTTACAATGCAAAATAAAATTTTTTATCTCTGAGAACATCTTGTAAATATTTATTATTGTTACTAAGTGCCATCAAGTGAGTTCTGAATCACAGCTACCCTGTTAGGGCTTCTGAGGCTTTAAATCATTGTGGGAGCAGAAAGTCTCATCTTTCTCCCACAGAGCAGCTGGCTGGCTCAAACTTTGCACCTTCTAGTTTCACAGTCCAGTACTTATTGGACTGAGCCATGGAGCTGTAAATAATTTCCTAAGAAAACTGTCGACAAATACTTGTTATAAGCCATGGCACTTATTCATATGTATAAAACATGTGGAGTTACATTCTAATTCTCATCCTTTAAAATGCCACTTAGAAATATTGAATAACATTATGATCTCTAACAACAATTATGTTAGGAAACAAAAGAGTACTGATTAAATCTGCTATTTTTCTCTACCAATATGCCTCATGATTTAGTGATAGTGGTGTGCCGTGGAGTCGGTTAGCGACCCTGCATAGGATTTAGGCTGTAATTCGTTAAGGTAGCGGAAAGCCTCTTCTTTCTCCCATGGAACCACTGGTAGTTTTGAACTGTAGACCTTGAGATTAGTAGCCAGATTCCTAACTACTACACTAGCAGAGCCTCATGATTTAATCAGTTGCAAACAAATTAAAACTTCAAAAAGTAAGAATACAAAGGAAAAAATACATTACCTGCAAAAGGTGACAGGAAGCTTTTTCTCTAACAGCACTTCTTGGCAAATAGAGCAGATATCCTCAGAACCAATTTCCTTCTGTTTTATATGCCCATCTTCTTCAATATGTGTATTTTCCTCATTAGCTCCTGGTTGGGGAGTTTGAACTTGATGTATCCCCCGAAGCAAGTCACTGATTTCTCTTTCCATCAGACCCAATTGGAAAGCAGCTAGTGAAAAACCCCAAAGTACTAAAATTAGGTGATGTCTTAGTTATTCAGAGGTGCTGTTTCTGAGGAGTGACTGGTGTGCTTAAACTGCTGACCTTCTTGTGGCCAGCAGTGCAGTACTGTCCTATAGTGCCACACCAGGGAAAACTTTTACAGTTTCTAAATGTGTTGGAATCTTCTCGACAGCCTTAATAACAACAAAGTTATACTTGTTCTTTTCCTCAAAATTAAAATAAATTTAGGTGCAATAATCACTACAAACTTGTGCTTAACATAAATGATTGAATTTTTTTGTACTTATCCCTGATGATTGTTTCACCACATTTTTATTAAGTGCCTTTGTCTTTGAAAATGGCATGTGTAATTATACTTCATAATAAGGACGAAAAATTACAACTGTTATAACAAACTGGACTATGGATTTTTCAGATTCTCTGGAAAAATAATGACTTAAATTTAGAATATGTCTAAATAAAAATTTTCTTTTTTAAAGATTCTTTTTCCTTTTTGTAAACTTATACTGTTATTGGGTGAAAGATTACAGAATGAATTGGTTTCCCACTATCGGGCTGCGAACCCACCAGTTCAGCAGTTCGAAACTACCAGCTGGTCCGTGGGAGAAAGGTGAGGCTTTCTGCTCACGTAAAGATTTACAGTCTTGGAAACCCTGTACAGGGTTGGAACCGACTCCATAGCACAGAACAACAACAACAAAGCAACTCTTACTCGTTTTATGTTGTGACATTGGTTATATTCCTCACAATGTAACAACGCTCTTCCCACTTCCCTCCTTGTGTTTATAGTTTCCATTTGTTCTTCTTTGTTCCTGTAAAGTGTCCTCAAGTTGGTTCCAACTCAGTGACCTTGTAAAGGGTTTCCAAGGAATAGTTGGTGGGTTTGATTCACCAGCCTTGAGGTTAGCAGTCCAATTTATCCTACAGCACCACACCTGCTGTACAAATGCCGCTCTTTTGAGCTCCTATGGTTGATTGTTCTAATGAGTGCGTACCTTCCTGTTATTGTTCACATTATAGGCCTATTGATAATAGATTGAATGTTGAGCCATGGTAGTGAGTTCAGTTCCGGTCTGCAGGTTTCTAAAGACTATGGCCACAGGGCTTAGGTAGAACTATCCTGGTGTGGCACTGTGAGTTAATGCGCAGGACTGCAAAGTCAGTTTGAACCACAAAGTCGATGGTTCAAGCTCACCAACAGCTCCTCAGAAATCCTATACAGAGTAGCTATGGGTACGAACCCACTCAACGGCACTTAAGAACAACACAGATAGAACAGACCAGTAAGCCTGATTGCAAACTACAAGTTGGCAGTTCAAACCAACTAGCTGCTCCTCGGAAATCCTATACAGGGTCACTATGAGTTGAAACTGACTCTATGGCACTTAACAACAACCATCAGATAGTTTCTAATGGACCAGTAAGCCTAGTCTTTTAAATTAAGCTTGATTCCATATTTTTCTCTTACTCTGTTCAGGATCTTTTCAGAGCAGTCTGCAGTAGTAGGACTTCATAGTTTTTCTAGCCCCGGATGCTGTGATTCACATGCCCCATTAGTCTTTGATTTTCTTCAATAATTGCACCTTAGAGGGCCACTCACAAGCTGTTAATACCCCAATCACTACTCAACAAAGTAAGATTCAGAACACTATCTTTGAGGACAATGTATTGACAATTGACCTCAATGTCCCCCAAGACTTCAATCTTCAATCTCCAGGCCCAGAAACAAATTCCTACAAGGTATTTGCTTATGGCTAAGAAGTTTGTCTCCTGTATGCTCTATTATATTCATAGATATATTTGCAGCACATATAAATATAGATGTAAACTTTGTTGTTGTTGTTAGGTGCCATCTAGTAACTTTCAATTCATACAGATCTCATGTACAACAGAAAGAAACACAGCCCCATCCTGCACCACCATGACAATTACTGTTAAACATGAGCCCATTGCTGCTGCCACTGTGCCAATCTATCTCACTGGGAGTCTTCCTCTTTTTTGCTGACCCTCAAATTTATCTAGCATGGTGTCCTTCTCCAGGTACTGGTCCCTCCTGATAATATGTCTGAAGTATGAGAGATGAAGTCTGGCCATCCTGGCATCTAAGGAGCATTCTGGATATACTTCTAACACAGATCAGTTTGTTTTTCTAGCAGTCAATGGTACTTTTAATACTCTCCTCCAACACCATAACTCAAGTTCATCAATTCTTCTATGGTCTTCCTTTTTCATTATTAAACTTTCAAACACATATGAAGCTACTGAAAATACCATGGCTCAGGTCAGGCACACCTTAGTTTTCAAACTGATATCTTTGCTCTTGAATACTTGAAAAGAGGTGTTGTGCAGCAGATTAACCTGATGCAATGTGTAATTTGATTTCTTGACTGCTACTTCCATGAGTGTTGATGGTGGATCCAAGCAAAATGAAGTCTTTGACAAGTTTAATTTTTCTCTATTTATCATGATGTTATTTATTGATCCAGTGGTGAGGATTTTTGTTTTCTTGACATTGAGATGCAACCCATGCTGAAGGCTATGGTCTTGATCTTCATCACTAAGTATTTTAAGTCCTCTTCACCTTCAGCAATCAAAGTTGTATCATTCGCATACCACAGCTGGTTAATGAGTTTTACTCCAATTCTGATGCCACATTCTGCTTCATATAATCTAGTTTCTCAGATTATTTGCTCAGTGTACAGACTGAATAAGTATGGTGAAAGAATACCAACCTGGCGCATACCTTTTCTAAATTTAAAGCATGCAGTGACCCCTAATTCTGTTCGAACTACTGCCTCTTTTATCTATGTACAAGTTCCTTATGAGCACAATTAATGTTCTGGAATACTCATTCTCCACAATGTTGTCTATAAAGTGCCATGATCCATACAATCGAAAGCCTTTGGTAGGCAATAAAGCACATGTAAACATTCCAAACATTTTCAGGTAGTATTCTCTGCTTTCAGCCAAGATCATCTGACATAAGCTATGAGACCCCTTGTGTAATGTCCTCATCTGAATCTGGCTTGAACCTCTGGCAGGTCCCTGTCAATGTACTGTTGCAGATGTTTTTGAATTATTTTTAGCAAAATTTAACTTCCATGCGACATTAGTAATATTGCCCGAAGATTTCTGCATTCTGTTGGATCACCTCTCTTTGGAATGGGCATAAATATGGATCTCTTCCAATCAATTGGTCAGGTAGCTGTCTTCCAAATATCTTGGCATAGATGAGTGAATGTTGCCACTATGCATCAGTTTGCTGTAAGATTTCAATTTGTATTCTGTCAATTCCTGGAGCCTTGTTCGTTGACAA